CTTCACACACACACTCACAAACACACACACACACATTCTCTTCCCCCTCAGTCTATCTCCACCCCCTATTTCTCTCTTCCCCTCTATCTGCCCCACCGCCCCTCTCCCTCTCCCACTTTCTTCTTCCTCTCTACCCCTACCCCTTTTCCTCTTCCCCCTTTACTCTGCTTCCTTTCACCCTCTTTCCTCTACCCCATCCCTTTCCTCTTCCCCTCTTCTCCACCCCTTCCTCTTCCACTCTAAGCCTCTCCCCTTTCCATCTCCTCCACCCCTTTTCCTCTTCCCTTCCTACTCTGATCCCTCCTTTCTCCTTTGACCCCCCCAGGCGACAGGAGGTAGCTGTTACTTGAGGTACGATGACACAAACCCAGAGAAGGAGGAAGAGAAATTCTTCTTGGGCATCCGGGATATGGTGGAGTGGCTAGGTATGTTTAGTTTTAGTAAGGTTTTACTGCGCTCGCAACTGCATAAAGTCATATGAGGGTGTCAAAGGAGAAGTCCAAACGGAGGAATCAGGCTTTCTCTGCTCACCTTTCTAGCCTCACCTTTCTAGCCTCAACCGCTCAGAGTCTGCTTCGACTATTAATGCATCCCGGAAATGGCTGTTCACAAGAGTGACAAACATACAAATGAAGTAGAGGAAAAATAATGATAATAAGAAGGAAGAAAGAAAAAGCAGCAGTCCCCCCTATGTTGTTTCGGCACGGTATGATCATGACATTGATAAATCAGCCCATTTATAATTCTACTGTGCATACGAACATGTTTATATCCCCCCTTTGGGAATGGCCTAAAGACACTTGTCAATGGCTGGCTAGGTATGTGAAAACAGTTTTCATTTATACTTTACAAATGCGGGAAAATTTTATTTGATATGAACTAAAAAGCTCTATTTGTTTCTGCAAGAAGATTTATTTTGACAATGGCTGGAAATTAAATTCGCTAAATCCTTCATGTTAATTTGAATTAGGGTTGGTTCAACAAGGACCTTTTCATACTTTGAGGTTCAAAATTGTACACTCATTTGACATTTAGGCCGGATGTCTCGAACGTGAACTTTTGTGCTGGAATTTCCTAAACTATACTGGCCCTTTATTGTGTACAGTAAAGAGAAGCTCTCAGACACTGTGACAGTCATTCTTCTGTGCTAAGAAAAATAAAAAGCAGATAGAAACAGCAGAGGGAAACTAAAATTCTAACCAGTCTCCAACAGTGGCACCCTCCTACCTACCGCCAGAAAAATAAGTGCTGGAGTAGTGGCTGAAGTGATTATGTTTTGAGATACTACCATAACTGTGTTATACTGCTTAAAAGCGGCCATATATCTGTGTGTAGGCCGATTCTCCTATGATATTGAGATAGATTCTGTTCCCTCTAATAGTGAAACCATATTAGTTTGATGCCATGTGTATAAGGACAGTTAGAGCAGAGAATCTTGATGACATTGGAGATGTTGCGGGTAATAAGAGAAGGGCAGTAACCATGGAAATGTACACGATTGACTTCCATTTTCCATTCATCGGATCCGTTCGCCGTTAACCACGCAGAAATGGTTGTGCGGGAAGCCGATTTTCCGGTTTTTTTCGTATACGGATGGAGTGGCTCGAGGATCCATACTTGTAATCAACGGAAGTACACTGTTGAACTGATATGATGTTGTTTGGTTGCATCTATTGCTTCGTCGCCGGCTAAATCTAGTCGTGAAAAAAATTTCAGTTGTTTATTTTTTTGGACAAAAGTCTAGTGGCATCCCTGAGTACAGTATGAGAAAGTGTGAAAAAGAAGGTTTTTTTAGCGTCTAGCATAAGGCTATTGTCAGAATGAGCATAGATCATCATTGCTCTTTTGAGTAAGTGTCTAATATAACTCCAAAGGTTTTGTAATTAAATTCCTGCATGCGGTTGAATGATGCATCTGATGTGAGGTGTATAACAAATCTGCTGGGACATTTCAGTAACCCACTTTCAGCACTTTTTAAGGACCCCTGGGCGAGTGTTGAGTTCCTGCGTGCTGTCGGCATCGCTGACCGTTTATGAAGCCACAGCGCCAGAAGAGAGAGAGAGAGAGAGAGAGAGAGAGAGAGAGAGAGAGAGAGAGGGAGGGAGGGAGGGAGGGAGGGAGGGAGGGAGGGAGGGAGGGAGGGAGGGAGGGAGGGAGGGAGGGAGGGAGGGAGGGAGGGAGGGAGGGAGGGAGAGGGAGAGGGAGAGGGAGAGGGAGAGGGAGAGGGAGAGATGTATATGAATGTACATTTTGTCAACTTTACTTCTCTTTTCATATTGAATTTTAATGACTAAATGAGAGTAATATATAATTACATTTTTTTAATGTATACCAGCACGTGTTTTTACGGTCCTGTACAGCCAAGAAAAATTTCCCTCTGGGATAATAAAGTATTGTCTTATCTTATCAGGTCATATGAGTGCTTTCGCCTCTGTCACCCTGGTATTAATTTAATTAAAATTTTTCCTTCTTGGATAATAAAGTATTATCTTATCTTATCTTATCTTATGTTGTTCTCCATGGTCACAGGCTACAAACCGTTCAAGATCACGTATGCGTCGGACAACTTTGGCAAGCTGTACGAGTGCGCCGTGGAGCTGATCAAGCGAGGCCACGCCTACGTGTGCCACATGCCGGCCGACATGCTCAAGGGGTTCAACCCGCCCGACTCCCCGTACAGAGACCGGCCAGTCACAGAGTCGCTGCAGCTCTTTGAGGTCGGTCATCGTCCGCCTCTGTTTTTTAAAAATTGTTTTAAAAAATTGGTGTGGTTTGCTCCTTCTTTCTATCAAACTTCTATCATCCTTATCTCTCATCCTTCTTTTTTGTGTTTGTTACTCTCTTGTAACACCTCTAGTCTTTTGACTTTTTGTCATCTGTCGGTCAAAGAAATTTTGTTTTAATTTATTATGATGTAAAGTAAATTGTCCCCCCCCCCCCCACACCCAAAAAATAACTTTGAAAAAGATGGGAAAGGAAAAAAAACACAAACAAAACTTGACCCCAAAACTAAATAGTAAAAGTTGTTTATCTTCTCTCTTCCGTTTTTTTCAGGACATGAAGAAAGGCAAGATAGGTGAAGGGGAGGCAACTCTGAGGATGAAGACTACGCTGGAGGAAGGCAAGAAGGACCCGGTGGCGTATCGCATCAAGTTCACGCCGCACCACCGCACCGGAGACGAATGGTGGGTTGTGTTCGCTTACGCAATTTACAGGTCACTTCTGTTCCTGGCTCTGTCGGCTTGGATGGTGTATCTTTTAGTTTAGTTTAGTTGTAGTAGAGTTTTTACAGCGCTCGCAACTGCACAAGGTCATATGAACGCCCAGGGGGTGGACATCAACAGAGAAGTCTTTACAGGGAATCAGGCTTTCTCTGCTTACCTTTCTAGCTTCAACAGCACAAAGTCTGCTTCGACTATCAAGGCACCTGGAAATAGCAGGTCACAAGAGTGTGACAAACATACAAAAAAAGTAGAGAAAAATGTCAATAGTAAAGATTAGGAAAATAAAGCAGCAGTTCCCTGTTGTAGATCAGGCACAGTTATGAGCGTGACATTGATGAATCAGCCCATTTACAATTCTACTGTGCATAAGAACATGTTAATATCCCCCTTTTAGGAATGGTCTAAAGACCCTTCAGTCGGTAGCACCACCCCGAGGGGTAGCTGTATCTTTAGAAAAGGGGCTATACTCCTTTTTCCTTAGTTTGCTCAACTGTAGATTGGTACTTGGCCTTTGGTAGTGACAGGCTGTGAAAGTATACTGATAGCTTTAAATGGGGTACATTCTTGATACGAAAAGAGGTGATTTGTGAAGTGTGCTGACAAAATGAGTGACTTTTCGCCATCATCCACGAATGAAGACATTGGCCAAAAATTAATACTAAGGTCAAATTTGTATGTTTTCTATTGATGCCGTAATCTTTAAGTTTAACAAGCCTTTTATTATTTCCCACTTATAAATTGTAAAAACTTCACCTATAAACGTGACATATTTATTTCCACGGGATTCGAATCGGAGAAGTAACTCATTTTGTCAGCACGCTTCACATTTATTTAAAGTTATATACTTTCTGGAAGGCTCGTGTGCCTCGACAATGATATCCATTTCTGGGTATCATTACATACTTGTTATGTACAAACATCTATCTCTTGTTTTTGTAAAGTGTTTTACGGCGCTCGCAACTGCATAGGTCATATGAGCGCGCGGGACACACCTAATATTTTAAGTTGGTAGGAAATTTTGAATTTTGCCCGGGTGGCGGCCGAAGCCTACTCTTATCGATTTTAGACCACCAAGGGATCTTTAACGTGCGCAACTTGCATACGGGCCCTCCGAGATTTTTCGGCCTTGTCCGAGAAGGCTAGGTGTAGATCTTTCCTACCAGAAGATCAGGGGTGTGGCAGAAAGACAGCAGTAAGGAGGAGCCAAGGAGTAGCAGTAACATCTATCTCTTTCACACCCTGTCTCCACCAATTGCCAAGAACCCATGTACAACTTAGCGAACCACAACCAAAAGTGAAAAGCATTAGGTACTTACCTTTCCTGTTGGTGGTTGGAGGGTGCTCCGGTGTGGTTTGCTCCTTCTTTCCTGTGAAACATCTGTCTTCCTTATCTCTCCTCCTTCTTTTTTGTGTTTGTTACTTCCTTGTAACATCCCTTATCTTCGGCACTTATATGACCTTATTGTATTGCAAGTGCAGTAAAACTGTTACGAAAACGAAATTACCTTTCCTTAAGATAAATTGCTCCATCTGACAGAGCCAGGGATAGAACTGGCAGCTTTAAAAAAAGTTTGCCATTCATTATTTCTCTCTTTGTCACTGTCTTTCCTTTTTCTTTTGTAATGTGACCCTTATCATGCCAACTCTCCAAATGGGTGGTTGGTTCAAACTTTTATCATTCTTATCTCTCCTTTTTTTCTTTGTATTTTACTCTTTTGTAACACCTCTAATCTTTGGCACTTGTATGACGTATTTGTATTGCAAGTACCGTAGAACTCTTACTAAAACTGAAATATTTAACCCCCCCCCCCACCCAATAAAAAACGCACTTGATCATCTCCCCTTTTCCTTCAGCTTTCTCTTCCTTGTGCTTAAGTCTTTTATCTTTTTGTGTTCTGTCTATAGGCTTCAGCTTTCTCTTCCTTGTGCATAAGTCTTTTATCTTTTTGTGTTCTGTCCACAGGTGCATCTACCCCACGTACGACTTCACCCATTGCCTTTGTGATTCCATCGAGAACATCTCACACTCTCTCTGTACCAAGGAGTTTCAAGCAAGGTAATGTTGACTGTGTTTTCTGGAATTTCCTAAGTTTTTAAACTTAAACCTGTAGACATTCGTATACTACCGGCTGTGCAATGGCTAGGGCCTCTACAGGTAAAGTGTATATGCCCATATCACAAGTTCCACGAAAGAGATCCTACTACTGGCTGTGCGGTGTGATGAGACTTCTACAAGTAAAGTGTATATTATATTTGTCTATATCATAACTTCCTTAAAAGAGTCTTACCCTGTCTGCCCTTGTGTGTCCATAGGCAATCATTTTACTGCTGACTATGTAATATACTGAAACGTGTACAAGTAAAATGTATATGCCCGTATCACAAATTCCACTAAAGAGAGTTACCCCCTCTCTCCCTGTGCATCCACTTGAAGGGGCATCAACTCACTCTATCCTGTGACCGAAATATCTCGGTCAGCTCGCGGGCTGCGTTCAATCTCACTATTGAGATAGCTCGGTTCTATAGTTTTGTTCCGTATACTAGTTATTTATTTTGTTTAGAAAATCGGCCTCAGGTTTTATATAAGGTCAGTTTATTATTTCCTCGGCCAATTCTGCCTAGATGGGTGCTGGAATTTTGTTTCTACTGTCATTACACACGGAGAAATCGTGGTTGTTATAAAGGCACTTTCAGCACTTTTGTTTCCACTGATCAGCTGAGCATATCTCACAATCGATTCTCTCTGCCTTTCTCGCACATACATTTGTTTAATTCAGGAAAGTAATCAACAGTCTTTATTATACATGCCATACAATGTGTAGATCTAGACACTCACAAGCATATATTTGAATGTCAATGTAGGCTTGCTCTTGGTCATTCGGTCATGAAAAAAAAATCATTAGCACCCCAAAATGCCAAATTTGTGCAACACCACGAAGCAAAACTGCTCAAGCTACAACATACTTCAAATTTGGCTCGTCCAAAGACCCATCTTAGATTGTACTTTATGCCAGACTTCGAAGCCATTGGATGATATTTATGGTTACTAGTGGGCCCTTGCGTAAGTCAAAATGACAGGTTTCTGGGTGCGATTTCGGGAAAAACTCCTGGGATTGAGTGAGTTGTTGTTGTTATCGATCCAGAGGGATTGAGTGAGTTAAACCTGTATCGTTTCACCATTATTTTTGTGCATCCACAGACGATCGTCCTACTACTGGCTGTGTAATGTGCTGAGCATGTACTGCCCGGTCCAGTGGGAGTACGGGAGGTTAAATCTCAGCTACGCTGTCGTCTCCAAGAGGAAGATTGGGAAGTTGATAACCAACGGGTTTGTGAGGTGAGTCTGTGTGTGTGTGCATGTGTGTGTTTGTCTGTCTGTGAGTGTGTATGTATGTGTGTGTTTGTGTGTCTGTGAGTGTGTATGTGTGTGTGTGGGGAAGTTGATAACCTACAGGTTTGTGAGGCGAGTCTGTGCGGTCAATGACTGTTGTGTATTATGTGTATAAAGTAACGTTGCGGTGGCTTACTGGGCCTCTCCCTGTGTTTCCAGAGACTGGGATGACCCTCGTCTGTTCACGCTGACCGCTCTACGCCGACGAGGGTTCCCCGCGGAGGCCATCAACTACTTCTGTGCCAAGGTGAGTGTCAGATGAGATCTTTTATAGATGTAGCCTTCTTCTTCTTCCTCGTTCTCGATAGATGTAGCCTAAATTATAGTAACTTTGTAAGAAGTAGCTGTTGAATTAGTTTTATGAATAAGGTAGTTCTGTACTCAGAAAAAAGCCGAAGATTTGAAAAGAGGATGTCTAGCTGGATCGAATGACACAGGCTACTGAGTTGTTGGCAGACTTTTCAACTGTTCTAACCACCCCTAGGGCGGTGCTACTGACTGAAGTGTCTTTAGGCCATTCCCAAAGGGGGGTATTTACATGTTCTTATGCACAGTAGAATTGTCAATGGGCTGATTTGTGGGCAATATAAATGCACTTCTCCTCCTCCTCCTCCTCCTCCTCCTCCTCCTCCTCCTCCTCCTCCTCCTTTATTATTGTTGGCGGGTGCTCTGGTGTGGTTTGCTTCTTCTTTCCAATCAAACATCTATCGTCTTTATCTCCCCTTTTTCTTTTTTTTGTGTTTGTTACTCTCTTGTAACACCTCATATCTTCGGCACTTATATGACCTTATTGTGTTGCAAGTGCCATAAAACACTAAAACTCTTTTATTATTATTATCATCATCATCATTATCATTATTATTTTTGTTGAAATATAATAATGATAATAATGATAAAAACATAATGATGATTATGTTCATGATTTTACTACTTATTCTGTCTATGTGTCACCAGGTGGGAGTGACCATGGCCCAGACCTGCATCGACCCGTCTATGCTGGAGGCGTGTGTCAGAGAGGTTCTCAACGTCACAGCACAGAGGTCAGTGAGTGCACGGCCAGCTGTGTCGTGTGTTGTGTGTTGTGTCCTAAGTGCACGGCCAGCTGTGTTGTGTGTTGTGTGTTGTGTGTTGTGTCCTGAGTGCACGGCCAGCTGTGTTGTGTGTCGTGTGTTGTGTCCTGAGTGCACGGCTAGCTGTGTCGTGTGTTGTGTGTTGTGTCCTGAGTGCACGGCCAGCTGTGTCGTGTGTCGTGTGTTGTGTCCTGAGTGCACGGCTAGCTGTGTCGTGTGTTGTGTGTTGTGTCCTGAGTGCACGGCCAGCTGTGTCATGTCCTGTCCCGAGTGTTTGTTGCTCACACCGAAACACAGGATAGTTGGCGGGTGCTCTGTTGGGGTTTGCTCCTTCTTTTCTATCAAACATCTATCGTCCTGATCTCCCGTCTTTTCTTTGTTTTTGATACTCTCTTGTAACACCTCTAATCTTCGGCACTTGTATGACCTTCTATTTGTGCTGCAAGTACTTTAATACCCTTACACAAACCAAACTAAAACCATCCCTCCTCTTTTTCCTCTTAAGTTACACTCTCTAGTACTTAACACCTCTAATTTTTGGCACTGAAACTTCTATATGACCTAATTGTGTTGCAAGTGCAGTAAAGCTCTTACTAAAACACTTAAACTCAAGTTGGTATTAGGAAGGCGGAGCAATAGGCGTGGAGACAAGTGTAAAGAAGAAAGAAGTAAAGAACGAGATGAGAGATTGTATTCTGGACAGAAATTCACACAACCCTTTCTTCGGAACCTGTCTTTTCTTTCCAGAGCACTTTTGTCTGTAATTGTGTTAGTCATTTTTTGAACACTCTGATCACCATGAATTTTGTGTTTTACACATTGTACTTAAGTGGGTGGTTGGCGGGTGCTGTGGTGTGGTTTGCTTTTTCTTTCCTGTCAAACATCTTTCGTTCTTTATCTTTCCTCCTTCTTTTTTGTGTTTGTTACTCTCTTGAAACGCCTCTAATCTCCGGCTCTTATATGACCTTATTGTGTTGCAAGTGCCATAAAACTCTTTCTATAACTAACCATTTACTTAACGCTTCTCTTACTGTAATGTTTTTTTCTGTTACCTCAATGAAAGTTACGGTAGTCATCATGTGTAATGATTTTTTTTTTCCTTCTTCTTATTCTCCCTAGGGCTACGGCTGTCATATGTAATGTAATGTAATATTTTTTCCTGTTACTTTCATAAAGGTTTCAGTAGTCATCATATGTAATGTCATGTTTTTTCCTCTTACTTCCTTGAAGGGTACGATAGTCTCCATATGTAATGTAATGTTTTTTCTTGTTACGTCCTTGAAGGTTACAGCAGTCTTCATGTGTAATGTAATGCAATGGGTTTTTTTCTTCTGACTTTCCCCAGGGCTATGGCAGTTCTTCACCCACTCAAAGTGACCATCTCCAACCTCCCCGCGGATTTCCCCAAAGACATTTCTGTTCTGAACTTCCCCGGGCACGAGGCGAAGGGATCCCACTCTGTCGCCTTCTCCAACACTCTCTACATAGAGCAGGATGACTTCAAGGAGGTGGGTCAAACTTTTAGCTAAAAAATAGTTTGTTTTTCTAAAAAATTGGGGGTTTGTTTGTGAAGTGGTATAAGTTTACCACCTCTATCATCACTATTAGCTTTTTTGAAGGGGAGGGACCTCGGAGTTTAACGTTTATCTCCAAAAGGACTGGGTTTGTTCATGGCTGTTGTTACTGATTGTGAATATTAAGAAAGACAGAGATTTTTGTGTGGGTGGTTGGCGGGTGCTCTGGTGTGGTTTGCTCCTTCTTTCCTATCAAACATCTATCGTCTCTATCTCCCCTCCTTCTTTTTTGTGTTTGTTACTCTTTTGTAACTCCTCTAATCTTCGGCACTTATATGACCTTATTGTGTTGCAAGTGCCGTAAAACTCTTACTAAAACATAAAACAAGAGATTTTTGTTCTGTGTTTCATTATAAGATAATATCTGTATGCTACTGTGTGTTTGTACAGCAACCATCTTTCTACTTTTCCTTTCTTTTGTACTTTTTTCTCCCAAATGTCTGTTTATTAGATTTTTTAAAATATGTGGCTGTTTAGAGGGAGTGGAAGGTGCACTCTTTGTCTTGTCTATGGCTCTCTCTATCATATTTTGCCATTGCACTAAATATCCATTGATCATTGTCGTTTCTGTCATCTTTACATATTATATTTGTGAAAGTTCTTCACTTGACCGCCTAAAACTTCCGAATCACTTAACTTTCGAATTTGACCAAATTAATGGTGGTTCAGAATCATTTAAAGGGTGCACAGTTTCATTGAGGAGCCTGAAGTCACTGTAGTTTAATTTTAAGTTTTTCATTAGTTTCTTTTAGAACTAATCTTGGGAAAGTCTGTTTTCCAAGATGCCATTGTAAACAAGTGAGGTATCCGTTCACTAGCCACGCGCCAGTACTGATTCCACACCTTTGAAATTTAATATTTTAACATTTTAGCATTTTAAAGTCAATTAGTTGACCAGTCGTGGAGTGAATTTTGCGAAAGTAAACAACTTGTGTTTCGCGCGCTCATATGACCTTAGCAGTTGCGGGCGCCGTAAAACCCTATACTACATACATACATACATACATACATACATACATACACCTTTGAAATTATGTAGTGTACAACCATGAAAGCGGAATAGAGAATCAGTCTATACATCTATTACATGTATGTATTTGGCAACTTAGAAACACATGTGTGACTTTTCTCTCAAGATTTTTAGCTCCGTTCCAGTGAAGTGTAAATATAGTAGGCCAATGACTTTCAGTTGATGTTAATGCAGTAAAGATATAATAACAGTATAGTCGAAATTGTTCAAGACTGACACCCATTGTGGAGAAAAGTGACAGTATTACACAGATAGATGTCGTGGACCGTGTTATTTTATGTAAAAAAAATGCAAGGGTAGAAGTGAGTAGTAGTCGCTTGTGCAGGTGATTGTCTTAGACAGGTGGCCGTTAGAGCACGTTTGACTGCATTACTCTTCAGTTGACCGGGATCATTTCAGCAGATGGTTGGAGGGAGCCACTGTTAGGGCCTACTTCTTTTCTTCCCATGTGTCGTTTTTGTCTGTCTGTTTGTCTTACTGTTTCCCTGCATTTGATGACTGTTATTGATGGTGTCGATGTGTTTCTCTTTACTCAAACTGAAACGGACTCCTTTGAGTATTGTATTTTTATAGACTGTCTCTCTCCTTCCCTCTCTTGTGGGAGGTTGGCAGGTGCTCTTGTTTGGTTTGCTATTTCCTGTCAAACATCAGTTCTTTTATCTCAGCCTTTGTTTTTCCTTGTAAGTTGTATGTTACTCTTCAGCAACACCTCTAATCTTTGGCAATTCTATGACCTTTTTGTGTTGCAGGTGCTGCTAAACTTACTCAAAACTAATACTTCTCTCTCTCTCTCTCTCTCTCTCTCTCTCTCTCTCTCTCTCTCTCCCACAGTCGGCAGACAAGAACTTTTTCCGCCTGACAAAAGAGCAACCTGTCGGCCTGCGCTACTCCGGCCTGGTCATCTTTGTGGAGAAACTTGTCAAGGTGAGGAGGTCACAGCGGACTTTTTGTTGTTTTGTTTTGTTGAAGTAAGGTTTAACGGGGCTGACAATGGGGTGGGTGTCAACAGAGAAGTCTTAACAGGGAATCAGGTTTACTCTGCTCACCTCTCTAGCCTCAACAGCACAAAGTCTGCTTCAACTATCAAGGCACCCCGGAAATAGCGGTTCACAAGAGTGGGACAAATCTACCAAAGAAGTAGAGGAAAAATGACGATAGTAAAGATGAGGAAAGAAAAAGCAGCAGTTCCCCCTTTGTTGTTCCGGCACAGTATGAGCATGACATTGATAAATCAGCCCATTTACAATTCTACAGTGCGTAAGAACATGTTAATATCTCCCCTTTGGAAATGGCCTAAAGACGCTTCAGTCTGTAGCACTGCCCTTGGGGCGGGGGGGACTTTATCGAGACGCCAATACAAAATGGATGTTGTGCTCAGGTTAAGAAAGGAAAAAGAGTTACATTTCTTGCTTGCGTCAGGTTCTGAACCTTACTTGATGAATTAAATATTTTCATTGCTCCAGATCTTTGGATTTTGCCCTGTGGCCCTAAATGTTTTTTGAGTAATCTTATCAATTTAACCACCTGAATGTAGGTCTGTTTTTATATATAGGTATGTTGCATCATGTTTGATAGATATTTGCAATTGTGAGGCAGCGCGGTGGAATCAGGCTCTCGTCAAAATAATCAAAGTGAAGAAACCTGCATTTTTCCGCAGGTTTGTGAATTTTTATCAATTTTTTTTTTTTGGCTCAACACCTTTCATGCCCTAAAGAATTCATTTCTGTGGAGATTTTTCTGGAAAACGTTGATTAAAGGCACAAAAAAATGTAAATTTTCAGTTAAAACAGGCTCTTAAGCTAAGGAAATAACTTATCTCTGGAGGCCATTTTCTCACTAATTTTACCTCTGAAAACAGGTGACCCCCACCTCCTTCTTTTGCAAATATCTCGACTTGTATTCAAGATAAAAGGATATTTTTTTCATCCTAATAAAGACAAGTGAACAAGCTTTAAGATGATACCAATAACTGTACATGCCCAAAAATTGACGAGAGCCTGATTCCACCACGCTGCATCACAATTTGATTTGGATATGATTGTATCCTGAGTTAATGGTGGTTGAAGTCAGACAGAAAGAGACAGAAGTAGTCAAAGAATAAGGTACTTATAGAAACTTGAGAACAAAACACAGGCAGGAAAAGACCAGGATATTGGTGGTTGGTGGGTGTTCTGGTTCAGTTTGCTCCTGCTTTCCTTTCAAACATCTATTGTCCTGATCTCTCCTCCTCCTTTTTTGTGTTTGTTACTCTCTTGTACTCCAATCAATGAGTTGAGGAGGGGAGATCAATCCATAATCTTCCAACTTAGAACACAACTCAGACCCCTCAACCAACATCTCAACCGAATTGGAGTAAAGCAGTCTGCTGCCTGCCCTTTATGTGACTACCCCTCAGAGACAGTGGAACATCATCTGTTCTTCTGTAGAAAACTAACTGATTTAAGGGGATGTTTTCTTCCCAAGCTACCCCACACATCTAACTGCCTCTACTCCTCAAGACAACAATTAGAACAAACACGCAACTATTACCGAATGGCATCATGCAGAAGAGTTAACGCTCAGATGCTACTGGATCGCTAACAACAACTCTCTTGTACCACCTCTAATCTTCAGCACTTTTATGACCTTATTGTGTTGCAAATGCAGTAAAACTCTTACTAAAACCAAACTAATACCTTCCGTGTCTCTGTGTCCCAGGCTTATGTTTTATACCTTCTGTGTGGGTGGTTGGCAGGTGCTCTGATGTGGTTTGCTCCTTCTTTCCTTTCAAACATCTATCGTCCTTATCTCTACTCCTTATTTTTTGTGCTTGTTACTATTGTAACACCTCTAGTCTGCAGCACTTATATGACCTTATTTTGTTGCAAGTGCCGTAAAACTCTTACTTAAACTAAACTAATACCTTCTGTGTGTCTGTGTCTCCAGGACTCGCTGGGAACTCCCACGGAGCTGGTGGTCACCTGCAAGATGGCCGACGACGTCCCCAAACCCAAGGCCTTCATTCACTGGGTGTCTGACCCACTCCGCTGTGAGGTCCGCGTCTACGAGAGGCTGTGAGTCGCATTTCTCTTTTCTATCATCATCATCATCATCATCATCATCATCATCATTGTAAACAGCAGAGAATAAAAATAGGGTTGAGGCTTGTAGAATTTCCAGAAATTTTTTATATAAATTCAATGTTTCTCCCACTCATTGTGTTTGTTTTCTTATAAAAAACCCAAAAAACAAACATCATCATCATCATCATCATCATCATCATCATCATCATTATAACTCAGATCCGTTCTGTCAAGCCTGCAAAGGGGAAGACGAAACTGAGGACCACGTATTCTTGAAATGTCCTGCCGACATTAATGCCAAATCATGTCTGCTGGGACATTTCAGTGACCCACATTCAGCTCTTTTCAAGGACCCCCGAGTGAGTGTTCAGTTCCTGCATACTGTTGGCATCGCTGAAAACTGATGATGCCACAGTGCCAGAAGGCAGAGAGAGAAAGATCATTATCATCATCATCATCATCGTCATCATTGTTTAAAAAGCAGAGTAGGAGGGAGGGTCTTGCTTGATTTACAAATGAAAATAATATAAATGTGAGGCAGCGTGGTGAAATCAGGTGCTCGTCAAAATAATGAAAGTCGAGAAATTGGCATTTTCCCGCAGGTTTGCGAATTTTTATCGAATTTTTGTTCTTTGGTTCAACCCCTTTCATGCCCATTAAAGTTAAAGAGCACGTTTCTGTGGGGATTTTACTGAAAAACGTTGATTAAAGGCAGAAGAAACATAAATTTTCAGTTTCCACGGACTCTCAAGCTAAAGAAATAACTTGGCTTATTTTACCTCTGAAACCTGATTTCACCACGGTGCCTCACATTTTTTTTCTGACACCTGCAATGTTTTGACTCTTTGTCTCTGACAGGCTGTGACTCACATTTCTACTCTTTGCCAGAGCTATATTGTCTATTACTTTACAGACTTTTCTGTTGTTTCTGAGGAAGTTTTGAAGAAATGATTTGATACTAACAATTTTGGTTGAAGAAACATTCGCAACTTTTCTCCTTTTTCACTCCTATCACCTTCATGTTTGATCCACCCTCCGTGCCGAGCATTTCACATTTCAAATAACTTATTTGTGTGTCTAGCTGAATGTTCAAGTTATTCAAACAACAACAAAACCGACAACATGCATGTGGGTGGTTGGCGGGTGCTATGGTGTGGTTTGCTATCAAACATCTATCATCCTGATCTCTCCTCCTTCTGTTTTGTGTTTGTTACTCCCTTGTCACACCTCTAATCGTCGGCACTTATATGACCTTTTTGTGTTACAAGTGCCGTAAAACTCTCTCTAAAAATAAAATCTTCGTCTTCCTCAGGTTCAAGCACAAATTCCCGGAGGATCCCAACGAGGTGCCTGGAGGTTTCCTGTCAGACATCAGCGACGTAAGTTCTTGTAGTGTCCATGTCGTAATGTAAGCGTAAAACCCTCAACTATAAAAAAAAAACTGGAGGAAGCAGTGTGTGTGTTCAGGCTTTCAGTCCAGAATTTCCTGAGTCTGTGCCTAATCTTCGACATTTATATGAACTTATTGCAGGGTTCCTGCGGCCTCCTTGAATTCAAAGAGTCGTTGAAAACTCCTTGAATTTGCAAATCAAGGACAAATCTCCTTAAATTAAAAACTACTTGAATTTGAGAGACGTCCTTGAAGACTCCTTGAATTTTGGCGGATCGGACATGAACAACGTTTTTGTCGGACAATTGAAACTTTGATTTCTTTTGGACAAATGTAGGCCTGTCGGCTATAGGCTTTTAGGGTGCGAGTGCGCAGTCGAAAACAGCATGAATTTCTTGACCAAATCTCTTTGAATTTTTACAATTTCTCCTTGGAACCTCCTTGAAATCTCCTTGAATTTGGTGGGGAGTTCATGACAGGAACGCCATTATTGTGTTGCAAGTTCTGTAGAACTCTCTCCCCCCCCCCCCCCAAAAAAAAGAAAGAAAACAAGCACCTTGCTGTTTCTTTTTAAATCATAATCCCTTTTCTAATATTTTGATTATGTTAAAGGGTAGAGAACTCAGTATGAAACAAAATTTGGAAATGTATTTAATGAGTTTGTTCCCCTTTCCTTGCTGAGGTGGATACAATCTCTTTTCTCTTTTCAGTCATTGACAATGCCTTGTCAGTTACATGCAACCTCAGTGCTTTCTTGTCGTATCTCCATTTTTAATAACAGTGAAAACAGTTATGAGAAAGGGTGAGCTTAAAGGAAGAAGTCACATTTTCACTGTTTAAAAAAATGTAGATATGACAAGAAAGCACTGAGGTCGCGTACAATTAGTAGAGTTAGCGACAGATAATTTACTCAGTATGAAACAAAATTTGCAAATATATTTAATGAGTTTGTTCCCCTTTTTCTTGCTGACTCGAGCTGGGTTGTTTGAGGTGGATACAATCCTTTTCAGTTTTCTGTCATTGACAATGTCCTGTCAGTTACAGTTAGGTGAGTTCATCATCATCCGGTGCCTTGCCGACTGGCGTGGGCGATTATGGACCTCCACTTCACACTGTCTTGCGTTGCAGCGATGGTGTCTGTTGTTCTTGCTGCTCCCAGGGATATTGTTGTCAACTTGTCCAGTATCTTTTCCCTCTGTCTGCCTCTCTTTCCTTCAAACTTGCCTGTTGTTGCAATATGGGAGGCAGCGTGGTGAAATAATGAAATCGAAGAATCTTTTTTTTTCGGTAAGCTATTTTTTTTCTAGAAATTTTGTGTGTTTTTTTTGGCTCTTCACCATGTGTCCATTCAAAATATCAAAAACACGTTTTTGTGTGGAATGTAGGAAAAAACGTTGATTAAAGTCACAAAAAAATGTCATTTTGCATTTTTTATGGACTCTTGAGCAGTGGAAGTTACCAAACTTTGGCAGCCATTTTCTCGCTAATTTTACTTCTCTGATACCAAGCGACCCCACCTCCTTCAGTGGCAAATATCAAGTTCTATTCAAGATAAATGGACTTTTTTTTTCCTCGAAAGCAAGGCGAATGAGCAACCTACTTTAAGATGATACAAATATCTCCATATGTCCAAAAATTGACCAGCGCCTGATTCCACCGCGTCGTGACACGCATTCTCCAATACACGCTTTCTCCAATACACACGCATTCTCCAATACACGCTTTCTCCAATACACACGCATTCTCCAATACACGCGTTCTCCAATACACGCTTTCTCCAATACACACGCATTCTCCAATGCTTTTTTCCGCATTGTGTGTCCATGTTGAGTCAGTGACTGATAATGTTCCTCTTGCCCCAGGACTCGCTGGAGGTCGTTCCGGCCGCCATGGTGGACAAGTCAGTAGGCGGGGCCAAAGTCTACGACAAGTTCCAGTTTGAGAGAAATGGTTACTTCTCGGTGGACCCAGACTCCACGCCGGGCAAGGTAACTGGGGTGGTTGTTGTTGTTGTTTGGTTGTTTTTGTTGTTATCTCGTTGTTTATTGATATTTTGTTGTTTGTTTGTTTTATTATTTTTGGTTGTTTTTGTTGTTATTTTGTTTTTGTTTGTTTTTGTCTTTATCTTGTTGTTTATTGATATTTTGTTGTTTGTTGTCTTATTGTTATTTTTGTTTGTTTTTGTTGATATTTTGTTGTTGTTGTTTGTTTGCTTTGTTGCTGTTTCTGGTTATTTTGTTATTTGTTTTTTTTGGTTATTGTTATTGATTGTTTGTTGTTATTTTTGATTGTTGTTTTTGTTTGTTGTTGATTGTCGTTTTTGTTTGTTTGTTGTTATTGTTGTTGTTTCAGTTGATGTTTTTGCTGTTGTTGTTGTGTATTCTGCAGATGGTTCGAGGGCACTTCAATGAGTTCCTACTTCTTTTCTTGGCCTTCTCTTGTTTCTGTCTGTCATTTTTATGCTTTCTCTGACAAGGTACTGAGTTTGGTTGTTGCATATTGATCATTTTCTGTGTAGATGGTTGATGGGTGCTATGGAGTGGTTTATTCCTTCTTTACTATCACACGTCTATTTTCTTTATCTCTCCTCCTCCTTCTTTGTTTTTTGTTTTTTACTCTTTTGTAACACGTCTAATCTCCGTCTCTTATAATATGACCTATAAAACTACTGTTGCAAGTGTGGTACAATTCTTACTGAAGCTAGAAATCTGTAGACCTTTTCTGTGGCACTAAACGTGTTTCTCCCGTACTAAAATCACTATTTTCCTCTCCCCAGCTGGTGTTCAACAAAACGGTGTCGCTGAAAGAGGATGCTGGGAAAAAGCAGTGAATGGCGACGCTACAGCAACGTTTTTTTTTGTAGTGTCGTGCGGTGTGACAGTGAGCTGACAGCAGTGACAGAATGATGGGAGCGAGCACCAAAAGTTGTCTTGTCTGGTCTGAACGTAACTCACGAAGACGGTCGTTAGAAATACTCCGATAGGACCTGTGTGTGCTATTTCTCAATTCTTGTACTGTAGTAGATTGGCATCTGTTTTGTTGATGAAAAAACAGACCGAAGGGCTAGAACCCAAATGGCCGCTGGACCGGAAAAGTAAAGTAAAGTAAGTTGATGGAAAAAAAATATCAGGCGTTTCTGAGAAATTAAAAAAAAATGGTTTAATCATGTCTGTCAACCTCCATGACATGTTTGTGTATGAAGATAAAAAAAGATATCTTGAACTATTTTTGGAGTAATTCTTCTTAGTTTGAGCAGAAAGGGGTGGGGGTGGGAGTTATGTAGTCTAGTCTAGAAATCCAAAGTTCCAGCAGTCAGTTCAGGTGACACATTCGTACGGTGATGCCAACTTTTGTTTGTATGTTGTTGGTTTTCCTTGTTGTTGAGGTCAGAACGCCTTTGTGTTTTGTTTCACCGATTCTTTTCCATTCTATTCCTTGAGAGTTAATCTAGTTAGGTGTTTCAGAGGTTTTACATGTCTTCTAGTTTTGATTAGTTTTAGTTTTAGCTGTTAGATAGAGACGAGAACGTTGTGTTTTTTTAGATAGTAAAGATAGTTAATCTAGTTAGGTATTTCAGAGTTTTTAGATGTCTCCTAGTTTTGATTTGTTTCAAGTAGATTCTGTTGTAGCAGTTAGATAGAGACGAGAACGTTGTGTTTTTTTAGATAGTACAGATAGTGTGTAGCTGGGATAAGTGTTCTTCCACCATTTGGTGTGCCTGGATTGAATGATGGAGAAAAAAAGCGGAGCATTTCTTAACTCTTTAAGCCCTGAGTTTTTCCCACTGTTTCCCTGAGTTTTTCCTCCAGTCACCTAAACCTGGTGCACTATGTCTCATAACCTCAAAAGTTTCCCTACAACTTTGAAATGGTGGAAACAATGGCTTAGTCATTACGAAAAATTTTGATTTGGGAATAGTTCCGAAAAACAAGCGAAATCTAGCACTAAATAAAATGAAACATGTCACTATATACTGGACGCTTCCAGCGTCTGATGGGGAACAGGGTTACTACCGTCGGACGTTCCCAGCGTCTGATGGGGAACAGGGTTACTACCGCCGGACGCTTCCATGAGTGTCTGATGGGGTTAAAAGAGTTTAAAAAGATGTTTTGAGAGTAACATGGACTTGAGCACGAGAGAGCTGTCATGGGTTGTATCTCCGTCAGAGTCTGCCATTCTTCGCGCGTGGGTGGTTGGCGGGTGCTCTTGTGTGGTTTGCTCCTTCTTTCATATCAAACGTCTATCAAACTGATCTCTTCTCCTTCTTTTTTTTGTGTATGTTACTCTCTTGTAACACCTCTAATCTTCGGCACTTATATGACCTTATTGTGTTGCAAGTGCTGTAAAACTGTTACTAAAACTGAAACAGAAGGCATACGTACTACTGTATGGTTGAAATGTATGAGAGGAAAACTTTGAACAGTAGAGCAGATCACATCGACAGCAACGATAGCACTAGAAATAAATGTGAGATGTGCTTACCAAAATGAGTTACTTTTCGGAATTTAGCCTTATGGAAATTAATACTTCGACTTTATAGGTGAAGTTTGTTCAATTTGTAAGTATGGAATAATAAAAGACACGGTAGACTTGAAGAAAGTTGCATAAATCGAAAATCTCTAAATCTGACCCCAATGTCAATTTTCGGGCTATAGATATCTCCATTCTTAGATTGCGAAAAGTGACTCATTTTGTGAGCACACCTCACAAATCATTATATGTTGATCAAAAGTATTTAGTGCACTCGAGGTATACGTCATTATGTGGTATGTGTGATTGTGTGGCACTCGAGGTGTCCATTATGTTGTAAGTGTGATTGTGTGGCACTCGAGGTGTCCATTATGTGGTATGTGTGATTGTGTGGCACTCGAGGTGTCCATTGTGTTGTATGTGTGATTGTGTGGCACTCGAGGTGTCCATTGTGTTGTATGTGTGATTGTGTGGCACTCGAGGTGTCCATTGTGTTGTATGTGTGATTGTGTGGCACTCGAGGTGTCCATTATGTTGTATGTGTGATGATTGTGTGGATGAAGTTTCTTCCCGTGATCTGCCCCGTTGTTTTTGCCTTGTTTGCCATACAAAATATTCATTTCTTTCTTTGTGCTCTCTAAGTCCTTTCAATGCTTGACAATTCTTGGTTTAGGGAAAAGTGCATGACTAATTGTTGTTGCAGTCTGAGTGCTTCTCTTGTTGGTTGCTTCATCTCGCGATGATTTCAAATAAAATATCATATTTATACACCCACCGGTACTGTTGGCTTTGTGGTGAGTGTATTTTTGCTGTGTCGGCATTTCATAGACATAAGTGTTCCTGAAGTGACATGGTGGGTGGTTGGCAGGTGTTCTGGTGTGTTTTGTTCTTTCTTTCCCTATGAAATATCTCTCATCCTGATCTCTCCTTTTTTTTTGTGTTCGTGGGTAGTTGACGAGTGCTCGGATGTGGTTTGTTCTTTCTTTCCCAATGAAATATCTGTCGTCCTGATCTCTCCTCCTTCTTTTTTATATTTGTTGCTCTCTTGTAACACTTCTGATCTTCAGCACTTATATGACCTTATAGCGTTGCAGCTGTCGTAAAACTCTTACTAAAACTAAACGGATCTCTCCTTTTTCTTGTATCTGTTACTCTCTTGTAATACCTTTAATCTCCGGCACTTATACATGTATGACTTATGATATATGTGTTGCAAGTGCCGTAAAACTTTAACTAAAAACTAACAATGATCAAGTGAAAATCAGAATTGGAACAAACAAAGGGATTATATGTTTTACTGAGACCTCCTGACAATGGTGAACTTGATGAAATACAATATAATGCACTAATGAGGGGGTGAACTGCAAAATCCCACTAAGCGACATTTTTGAAAAAAAAAATCGAGACCTTTTTACTTATATATAAATAAATGCACATTAGTTAGAGAAGAGACATAATCGAACCACCCCAACCACGACAACGGACTTTGTACATCCAAAATCGCATTGCACAGCCACCTGCGCGTCCACAGATGAGCTGCAGGATTTCATCGTCATCTTCGGCGACGAAGGACTACGTATCAGTTACCGGTTCTCAGACGCACAAAGTGTTTTCGGCCCAAACCCAACACATACTTCTTAAAAGCCACCTAAAAATCTTTCCTTTTACGCATGTTCGTGCGTATAGCAGCATTATAAAAAGCTGACTTTCTCAAAAGTGCTCAAATGGATTATGGATGCAGCGGGTTTTGCATCTCAGCCCCTCAAAAGTAGGTGGCAAGGGGAAGGATTGGAAGGGCATGACAAGACAATCTTACTTAACTTACAAGGAGGGAGAAGGAGAGAGAGAGAGAGAGAGAGAGAGAGAGAGAGAGAGAGAGAAAGAGAGAGAGAGAGAGAGAAATGGGAGGAGGAGAGACAGAGACAGAGGAAGAGATGCAAATTAAGAATACATCTAGGATCTGCGTTTGCTGCCATTTTTTTGTCAAAAAGTTGCCACAAAAAGTGACAAAAGTTGCCACAAAAAGTGACAAAAGTTGCCGAAAAAGTTGCCATTAATTTCCAAGCTTTCAACTCTCTGTGACGACGTATATAGCAATATGTTGATAGAGGTAACAATCTAAAGCTCCAGAATTTCTTGTGCTCTGTTTTAAGCATCCAGAATATCATTTGTAGTCACCCAGAGCGTAAAAACGTGAAAAATAAAGGTATCACAACAGAATTTTAAAAAACCCAACAAATTAGGGCACGTGTCCACCAAACCGAACATTAGCTGTTTTGACCCTAAATGTGTGTAATTCAAGAAAAAGGAGGCCTACAAGATCTTACATGAAATTAATGGAATCACACACAATTGGGGCGTGCCAGTGTCAGTATTCCGTTTTGGTGGAGACACGCTCTAACGTAACCCATTTATATTTTTAAAAGGGCAGGAACAGCGTCAATTTAAATGACATTACTCGGTAATGTTCGCAGACGGACCAAAAGGAAAACAAATCATCAGAACAATTTTTAGACAAATTAACGCTCCAACAAATAAAAACACAACAAAGAGGGAAAAATAAAAGGCAATAGCAATATATATAGTATGTAATGTAGGCTACTTATATTCTCCACCTGAAAATAGGATACACAAGGACATCTTAAAACTTATCAAAATACATGTCTAATATGTTTTGAAGTAGCTTTGTTTTTTTGTCTTTTTTGAAAAATGCAAACATCGCGGCCGAGACAAACGCAGATGCTAGATACATAGTAATAGGGTGGGTTAAATCTCCGAACCCGCACCCTCACGATTGCGAGTCCAGTAAACTAACCACTAGACACACACACACACACACACACACACACACACACATACACACACACACACACATACACACACACACACACTCACACACACACACACACGCACGGGGGCGCGGGTGCGCACACACATACACACACATACACACACACATACACACGCACACATACGCACACAAAAAACAACTCCACCTCTACAGAAAAACCACCCTCAAAAACAAAACAAAAAAGACCCCAGAACTTTTTCACACGCTAAATCATGTCGTCCTTGAGAAGGAAAACTTCTAGTACTAGATCTAGGTCTACCCCAGGAGTTAAGAGAATGTTGTCCTCCTCACATCCCATTCCCAGGCCCTGACAGTAAATAGTAAAGATAAGGATTCCATCACCTGGTCCATCTAGTTGCTTCATGGGGTTGATTGAGTCGGGCTCATCATAAATCACCACTCACCACACCACAGAATCGAGTCAGGAGCCCAGAGAAGGGGGCAAAGGAGGTATGGGGGGGGGGGCAGATAGTGGAGACGAAAGCGGACGGCAGAACATTGTTAGAGAGCAGGAAAGGACGTGAACGGAGACAATTTAGAGAAGAAACATTTCTGTCGCTATCGGGAATCGAACCCGGAACCTATTGAATGAGAAGCCAACACATTAACCCTATCCGTACTCCCTGGGGTCATTTATTTGTACCCCCGGGGTTGTGTTCTTCACATTTTAGAATGCTTCTAGTACGAAGATCTCTTTGAAACTTTCAGTATTTCTAAAAAAAAATTTAAAAAATTGACAGACTGCTATGCGAAGCGTACGGATCGGATTAACGAGTAAATTTCCTCTTTGGAGAGTGGTGGCACAGAGTTCCCCACGTCGTATGGATAAAATAGTAGAACACGGATAGGGTTAACCTCTAGGCCACGAGAACCCCTACATGATGTGTTTTTTTGTTTATGTGACTCTCCTGCGCATGCGTATCTAACATCATAGTCAACCAACATGGCACGGCGAAAGCTCAGTTTGTGTCTTAAATGGACTTTTGTTTTAGTAGAGGTTTTAAGACGTTCCCAACTGCATATTAGGTCATATGAGCGCCAAGGGGTGGATGTCAACAGAGAGGTCCTTACAGGGGATCAGACTTACTCTGCTCACCTCTCTAGCCTCAACAGCACTAAGTCTGCTTCGACTATGAAGGCATCCCGGAAACAGCGGGTCCCAAGATTGTGACAAACTTACAAAATAAATAAAGAAGTAGCGGAAAATGGCGATAGTAAGGATGAGGAAAGAAAAAGCAGCAGTTCCCTGTTGCAGTTCAGGCACAGTTATGAGATGACATTGATAAATCAACCCATTTACAATTCTACTGTGCATAAGAACATGTTAATATCCCCCCTTTGGGAAGGACCTAAAGACTCTTCAGTGAATGGCACCGCCTCGGTGGACTATGGGTCAGATGGCTCTGGTTCGAATCCTCTACGCCCTACGAGGAAATTCTATAAGTAGGATAGTGACAGTTGAGGGGGAGAAAGGAGTACGGTGTGTGTGTGTGTGTGTGTGTGTGTGTGTGTGAGTGTGTGTGTGTGTTTGTGTGTGTGTGTGTGCGTGTGTTTGTGTGTGAGAGAGAGAGAGGTGGGGGTGTAATAATTGTGGTTCCCCGGGGGTTGGGGTGG